GGAAACTGATACATTTTCTTTTGTCACATAAATGTATTTACTGTTGCTTTTGATCAATGTAATGCATCCTTGCTAAATAAATAATTTATTTTATTTTATTTTTTAAGATTTATTTTTGGCATATTTGCCTTTATTATTATAGGACAGTGTAGAGATGACAGGAAACGAAGTGGGAGAGAGATGGGGGTGGGATCGGGAAAGGTTCTCGAGCCGGATTTGAACTCGGGTCGCCCTTGGCACAACAGCACTATTTGTCGGCACACTGCCCACGAGGCAGAATTTCTTTAAAAAAAAAAAAACACTTGCTGACCCCAAACATTTGATCAGTATATTTCTTTGTTAACTTGCCTTTGGGATGTGTGATTAAAAGAAAATTTGTCTGCTTTCAGTTGTTTCAGAATGAAACTGATGTTAGATCCTTTTTTTATTCAATGTGCAGCAGCAATAAAGACAACACCCAAGATCCTGTTCAGACCGAGCCCAGAGGACGAGGCCATTTATGGGTGAGTGGATGCTGTTAATATGCCGCAGGTTCAGCCCTCCTCACACATGATCCTATTCACTGAACTAAGATCTTATTCACTAACTAAACCTGAGGACTCTCTGGAGGGCTGAGTTACGATCTGGAGACAGGGCTCATCACACACACTTTGTTTTTTAAATGAATAGTTCACCTAAAAAAAAGTAATTATGTGCTCACCCTCATGTTTCAAAACATGAGCATGAGTAAATAATGACAGAATTTTGATTTGGTGGTGAACTGTCTGTTTAATGGGATGTGTTTAATAGGATGAGCGCACAGGAAGTGAGATAGAGAGAGGTGGAGGGTCATCTGCATCACAGCCTCACAGATGGGCTGGATACCTCTGCAATCCCTCTCTCTCTCTCTCTCTCTCTCTCTCTCTCTCTCTAAATCATCCTCTCCGTCAGCTCCTCCATATTCATGAGGAAGAGGCAGTCTGCTGCTGCTCGTATCCACTGGGAGAGGTTATTTTTGTGTCCTGCTCTTGCTTACAGAGCCGCTTTGTTTTAAGACCAGAGCTCCAGTTTGTTTTTACTTGAGCACATGACGAGAGAGCTGCTTTCAGCTGGAGAGCAGGGAAACCCTGCTGAAAAATCACAAGCCATGACGATGCATTTGGCTGGAAAGGATAAATAGAAATGGGACAGAAAAAATCTATTTTTTAAGCCTGTTTTTCTCCAAATATATTATATGGGAGTCATTCTTTTAAGTGGGTTTGTTGCATTTTGGAAAATAATATTTTCTGAAATTAACCTTTTTATTAGACAAAATTATTAGCAATTAAAGTATGACTTAATTGCTAATAATTAGCACTGTATCATCCAGGATTATTATAGTAAACAAAAACTGAAACTATATATAAACTGAAATATTAAAATAACTTAAACTTATTTTATTATAGTTACTTTTTTTCCCATTTAGTTTAACTTAAGTACTAAAATAACTAAATAAGTTAAAACTAATAAATCAAAGATAGACTTTAAAAAAATTATAAAAAAGGACAAAAACACATGGCAAAATTACTAAAACTTTAACTAAAATTAATTTTAAATCTTGAAAATGTGAAAATAAAATCTAATTCAAAATACCATTTCAAGCTAAGCTAATAAAAATTAATATTTTGAGTCTGATGGGAAATGGCAGCATTATGACTTTGCTATAATTCCTATAAATATAAATATGAATACATTTCCGATAAATTCTCCTATTTTAATGAGTTTATTTAAATTCAATATTTAATTTAAAATTTATTCTATATTTATATGCATACATTATGCAATGGTATATTTAAAAATTCTATTTATATATATGCAAATTAAATGCGACAAAATGCTTTCTGGGCGTAAGAAGTTTCAGAACAAGGATAACATGGAGCTAGCTAGTCATAATGAAACTGACCTTTTGCAGTGCAGCTTGGGTTCTGTACAATCTTCAGGGGATGTCGTCTTGTGCGCTTACCAGTCATTAGCATTTAGGAAGGATGAACAGAGGGTTGAAGCTGAGATGTTAAGGTACTGAAAGCATCGTCTCCCTGCTTGTACAGAAGTTACTGTGGTGAGAACTTCTCCATCTTGTAGAACTTTGAAAACTTATCCTAAACCAAGCAGATCTGTCATTACCCAAAGCATCAAAGCAAAGAAAAACTCACAGTATCTCACAGAAGTGAGTACACCCATTTTTACATATAGACTGGGCCGCAGGGCAGTATTCCAACATGATAACGACCCCAAACACACCTCCAAGACAACCACTGCCTTGCTAAATAAGCTGAGGGTAAAGGTGATGGACTGGCCAAGCATGGGCATCCTCAAACGGAAGGTGGAGGAGCGCAAGCTGTACACTCACTACTTTACATTGTAGCAAAGTGTAATTTCTTCAGTGTTGTCACATGAAAAGATATAATAAAATATTTACAAAAATGTGAGGGGTGTACTCACTTCTGTGAGATACTGTATATATATTTTACATAATGTCATTTTCATGATTGGTGTGTTGTGCTTCCTGAAGTGATGTCACAGGTGAGATGTTAGCAAATGCCTAACTCTCTGCCTCTCTTTTTAGGCCCAACACAGTGATGGTGAGCTTTCAGAAAGGAGAGAGTGTTGGCTTGAGGTTGGCTGGAGGAAATGATGTGGGAATATTCATAGCAGGAGTTCAGGAGGGCAGTCCGGCTGAAGAAGAAGGTCTCAGTGTGGGGGATCAGATTATGAAGGTGCAAAAATAACAGCTCGGTTGACTTTAGCTGAATGATTTACTAATGTTCTTGTTCTGATCATTTTGGGTCATCTTGTTTTTGACTTTATAATAAACAAGCTGCTTTTGTTACTGTATCTTTACATCTTCTGTATGTAAATGACCAATCTTATGATTATGTAACCTTATTATGTAGTCTTTATGGTTTTCAGAAATAGCCTGGGTGGACTGGAGAGGGAGGGAGCTTTAAGTCAACATTACGTCAACATATTAGTACAGTTTTCCATGTAATGACCCCTTTATGAGGAGAGAAAATGTTTTGAATTTGATTTGCATTTGCCACATTTCCTTTTCAACTGTATTTGTTTGTTATCTTTCTCTCCCTACAGGTGAATAACGTTGACTTTCGGGGCATTGTGCGAGAGGAGGCCGTGCTGTTCCTGCTGGAGATCCCACGGGGTGAGGTCGTGACCATTTTGGCACAGAATAAAACTAAGGGTGAGAGCAAGAGAACACGAGCCTTGCTCACCCCACACACATTAAACACACAAAACTGCCCCTCGCGTCACCTCAGGAAACACAACAACACTGAATTATTTATTTATTTGTTTGTTTATTTATTTATGCTATTTGTTATTTACAACACCTTTTGTTTTCATTATAATTATATTTTATTTATTTATGTATTATCCATTTATTACTTATCTATTTGTTTATTTGTTTACAACACCTTTTGTTTTTATTATATTGCATAATTAATTATTTATTTATCTATTTTTTAATCTGTTTATTTTTTTACAACACCTGTTGTTTTAATTGTAATTACATTTTATTTTTATTTATTTATTTTCTATTAATTTATTTTTATCTATCTGTTTATTTGTTTACAACCATTTTTTTTTATTATAATTACATATAAATTTATTTATTTGTTATGTATCTGTTCATTTTTTTATCTATTTAATTTGTATTTGTTTACAATATATTGTGTTGTATTTTATTATTTATTTAATTTAATTTATTTATTTATTTACAACACCTTTTGTTTTTATTATAATTACATATTTTATTTATTGTATTGTATTTCCATTTATTACTTTTTATCTATTTATTTATTGTTTATTTGTTTAAAACACCTTTTTTTATTATATTACATAATTTATTTATTTATTTGTCTATTTTTTAATCTGTATTTTTTTTACAACACCTGTTGTTTTTATTATAATTACATATTATTTTTTATTTATTTATTTTCTGTTTATTGATTTTGATCTATTTATTGTTCATTTGTTTACAACACATTTTTTATTATAATTACATATTAATAATTTATTTACTATGTATCTATTTGTTCATTTTTTTATCTATTTAATTTTTATTTGTTTACAATATATTGTTTTGTATTTTATTTATAGTTTATTTATTTATTTGTATCTCTTTTTTATCTGTGTGTTTTTACAACACCTTTTGTTTTTATTATAATTACATATTGTTTTTATTGATTTATTATCTATTTATTTGTTTGTTTGTTTTTTATTTACTAGCGACCAATATTACATCAGTGTATGTGTGAATGGGCCCGGAAGCGCTGTGTCTTTGCTCTTCCCCTCCCCCTGTACTGTACACACAGAGCCTGTCGAGAGGCCTCGGCTTCTTGCTCATCACTACAAAACCAGTTGTAGCCAGTTTTGGCTTTTCCAGGGACTGCCGTGTCAAGTGTGGTCATGTGCTCACATGCCAAAATCCAGATTTTCATGTTTGTGAGCTTTGCTTTCTCTTGCCTGTTATGTGAGGAACCAAATGCCTCACATGAAAACCCCATGCTGATGTTAATTGGTTCAATCCTGATAAAGAAACGTCTTGTCCAAGTCTATTGGATTTGGAGTCCAGAAACCAAAAACAAGTTCCTAACCCCAGCACAAGACAGCGGGACGTCAGCACTGACACGGCTCTCTCTGCTCTATCCCTCTTTTTCTGCTGTCATGCCATCCCTCTATCGCTCTCTCTCCCTGTCTTCATCTCTATTTCTCTTACTCCATCTCCTCTCGGTGTGGGTGTCTCGTGGGAAAGCGAGATCTGGCGCTGTCGGGTTGAAGCTCATTTGGTCTGAGCCGAGACAGATGTGGTGTCAGAGCTTTAATCAAGAGGGTGACGGCACCGCTACAGGAAATCTGACCGCTGAAACTTTTATCCTTGACACTGTGAATCCTAAGTCAAATAGCACTGAAGTTGTCTATTCATTGACAGTTTTAGCACTTCACAAATAAAAATGACATCAACCATGGAAAACTTGCATCATGTTGTGATAAATTATTGAATTAGAGTGGTGAATTAAATTTTAATGTCACCTATTTAAAATTTACATCTAAAATAAATAAAATAATACACCTATTTAAGAGATTGATAGACTGAAAATCACCTACAGCAATGAATAAATATTATATATAAATATTTTTTTAAATATATATATATATATTTGTTTTTTGTATACATTTATGGATTTTTTTACTTTTTAAAGAATCTTTTGAAGATTTGGCAGAATTTTGATTATAATGTATTAATTTTTTTATTATTTTATATTTACAGCAAGATTTTTATTGTAATTATGTATTTTATTTATTGGTATATTTATATATTATTTTAACTATTTATTTTATTATGTTTATTTGTATCTATTTTTGCATTTACATAGCCTTTTGAGTTTTATTATATTTAATATATATATATATAATTTTTTTTTTATTCTTGTCTACTTATTTTTTATTTTATCTGTTTATTTTATTATGTTTATTTTTATCTATTTTTGCATTTACATAACCTTTTGAGTTTTATTATATTTAATATATTTATTTTTATATTTTTTTATTCTTGTCTACTTATTTTTTATTTTATCTGTTTATTTTTATTTATTTATTTATTTTAAATTATTTTTACATTTATAGTCCCTTTAGATTATTTCATTGTAATTATGCATTTTATTTATTTGTATTTTATATTTATTTTATGATTTCATTTATTTATTTACCTATTATTTATTGTTCTATTATTATCGTTTTTTCTTTCTTTTTATCTATTTAAATTTTTTATTATTTATTTAATCTTTTTTTTTTATAATTGCACTATTAATTTTAGTCTTGTTTCACGTCTCAGCCTTCTGATGCATATTGCACACAGAATTGAAATGCATTTTCAGTTGACCACATTAACAAAACATTGACATCGCTTGCATCATGCTCTACCAGTTAAGCCTGAGACATGTTTGGGAGCTTATGTTTCTGTTTTGTGTCCTAGTTTATGAAGACATCTTGGTGTCCGGTCGAGGGGACTCATTTTTCATCCGGACTCATTTTGAGTATGAGAAGGAGCTGCCTCACTGTCTCGCCTTCTCCCGGGGAGAGATCTTCAAGGTGGTGGACACCTTATACGACGGTAAGCTGGGAAACTGGCTGACCATCCGCATGGGCAAAGACAACCAGCTGCTGGAGAAGGGCATCATTCCCAACAAGAGCAGGTGAGAACGGAGAAGGGCGGACAATTTTAGCATGAGATTAAAAGATAAATAGCATTTAAGCCTTTCAGTCGGAAACAGCGCAAACATCAAATAGAATATGAATTTGTATTTATATTGAAGAGCACGCAGACTCTGCTTCTATGTACCACTGCTCTATAATGATCTATCGCTTTCTTTGCATAACCCTGCTGCTGCATAACCCCTGCTCCCGGGCTGATCAGAGCCGAGCAGATGGCAAATGTCCAGAACACACATAAGGGCTCAGGAAGTGACAGGGCCGACTTCTGGAGGCTACGTGGTCAGAGGGCGGCCAAGAAGAAAGATGTGCGGAAGAGCCGAGAGGAAAGTTCTGCGGCCGTCTTCACCCGCTTCCCTGCCTATGAGAGGGTGTTGCTGAGAGAAGGTGGGTGCTACAAAACAAAATAACTACAAAGTGTACTTTAAAGGTTATTCAACAATTCAGTGTGGATTTCTCATTATAGGCAGCGTGTTTCAAGATTATTAACAGTTACGAAGCCCAAAAAAGATACTGTGAATTAACCAAATAGTAGTAAACATTAGTCGTTTATTATGAAAGTTTAGGGGGGTTGAGTTTAACAAATTACACATTTGTTCATTTAAATACTCACAAATTATGTATTTTTATATATTAAATCAGATCAAATGTTTGGAATAATTAAATTTTTTTGATGATTTTGAAAGTCTTTTATGCTAACAATAGCATTTATTTGATTAAAAAATGAATACTGTGAAACATTATTACTGTTTAAAGTAACTATTTTATTTGAATATATTTTATAATGTATAATTTATAATTATGGCAAAACTGAATTTCCAGCATCATTACTCCACTCTTCAGTGTCACATGATCCTTCAGAAATCATTCTAATAAGCTGATTTGGAGCTTAATTATTATTGGCACACAGTTATTAATAATGGTTCTAATTATTGTCCGTGTTGAAAACCGTTTTTGCTGCTTAATAGTTTTCATGTCGAAATTGTTACATGTTTTTCAGGATTCTCTGATGAACAGAAAATTCAATGGAACAAAATGTATAAAAAAAATTTAAAAAAACTTGTAATATAATAAATGTCTTCACTGTCTCCTATGATCCATTGAAATTAAGCGTCCTTGCCAAAATAAATTATTAATTTCTTCTTTTTTGTAAATCTTACTGCAAACTTTTAAAAGGTAATGTACCACAATTTAAATATTATAGCAAAAACTGCTTTAAACTGATAATAATAAGATAATCATTTGATAATAAAATTACAAGATAATTCTTTTGACAACAATAAAAAGTCTTAATTATTCCAAACCTTCGACTGGTAGTGTGTGTGTGTGTGTGTGTGTGCACTGGTTTGGGTGGTTCATGGGGACACAAATTTGTATAATGATGTGGGTATGACAGAGGTATTACAATATGAAGGTGTTTATGAGGACACTGCCTATGTCCCCGTAATTCAAAAGGCTTAAAAAACATACTAAATTATGTTTTTTTGAAAATCTAAAAATGCACAAAGTTTTCTGTAAGGGGTAGGTTTATGTGTAGGATTGGTGTAGCACGATAGAAAATGCACCACCAATAAACCACCAATACCAGCATGTGTGTAATCACAAAGCAGCCAAAAAAAGAAACTATAAGGTAAATACATCACAAACAACTGATGCAATGTATGGCAAACATCGTAATTTACTTACCATGGTACCTGTATCATTTACACAATAAACAGTTTCAATAACGCGATGGCTGCTTGCACACAACATTAGTCACGTCTCTGAGCAGACCGGCCTAATACCGCTAATGAACGTCTCTGCATACCCACACAGAGAGCTGAGAAATTTTTAATACGTTTGAAAAATGGGCTCATCATCACAGAGAGAGATTGCTCGCTACACACTGTTCAAGAAAAATTGCCCAATAAAATCATCATGATTTATGTGACAAAAACCACAGTCGAGAATTTGAAAAAGGCTGTTTTGAATCATCGGTCAAGACTCTTCTGACTCTTTTTTAATCCTCTTTAAACCCTTTTTACATAGCTAAAAGAGCATTTATTACCATTAATATAAACCATTTTGTAATTTAGTCAGGCTAAAATAGATCACTTCTGCTTTGAAATCCTGATTGTAAGCCTTGTCTTCTCCCATAGCGGGATTCCGAAGGCCGGTTGTGCTGTTTGGACCAATCGCTGATGCTGCCTGTGAAAAACTGGCCGAGGAGCTTCCAGACGAGTTTGTAATTGCTAGTGAGTTGATGCTGCTGTCTCTGCCATATCATCAATAATGTCCGAAGGGATGCTCACACTTGGATTTTAAGCATGCTAAATTGGGTTAGACTCTGTAATTAATATTATCAAGACAATATGTCATGCTATTCATTTTATAAAAATATAAAAAATTTAATTTTACATGAATAAATAATATATAATTATATAAATAATATAACAATATATGAATTAAAGTTTGCATATTTTAAACTCGTAGTCATGTGAATGAGAGTTTCAGACAGCCAAGTTAATGTTTTTGCTATACAAAAAACGTCTGCTAAATTAATAAATGTAGAGGTGGAGCACATTTTTTACATTTTCAAAATTATTCTAATAATAATAATAATTATAATCATAATAATGAATATTATTGCTTTCATATAAAAGGTATTTTATAGTGCTGTCAAACGATTAATCGCATCCAAAATAAAAGTTTTACATACTATATGTGTGCTGTGTATATTTATTATGTATATATAAATACACATGCATGTATATATTTCAGAAAAATATGTTATGTTTATATATTAAATATATTTATTTATAATATAAATTATATGAATATAAATATAGACATGTAAATAATGTAATGTAAAAATATGTAAATATTTTCAAAATATATACTGTGTGTGTGTATTTATATATACATAATAAATATACACAGAACACACACATATTATGCAACCAAAAGCTTTTATTTTGGGTGTGATTAATCGCGATTAATCGTTTGACAGCACTAATAAAATTCTATTTATATATTTACATATTTATATGGAGGATTTTTTGGGGGGGTCAATCCTTGTTATGAAGTACTTCTATAATTTATCATATAAAAAATAGCTGATATTATATATAAAAATATATATTAGAAATACAAAAAAAAAGAAAAATAATAATAATAATAATAATAATAATTTAATGCATATTCTTGCATACCTGCTTTTCCATGTTCAAAAACATTCCATGCATATGAATAGGGGCGAATGGATGATAAAGTCTATAGTGTAAAATACGGTGGCCGAGAATGAATTGTTGTTGTGCTTTCTGACTTGTTATTTTGTTTTTTAGACTTGCATTTGCGTTTGTAATTTGTTATTTTGTTTTCAGAATTGTGATCTGCTTTGCACTTCTCGGCCACCGTAGTAAAAGCATCCAGAGCTTTAGCTAACATTGAATAAAAATTTATCTTTTTTATTGCATTGTACATGTTTAGTAAGTATTCTTATTTGTAGTTTGATTATGCATATTGTTTTTGTTCAATGGCACATCAGAAACAGAACCCAAAGATGCGGGGTCAGAGAAATCCTCTGGGGTGGTTCGTCTCAACACTATTAGACAGATCATTGAACAGGTAATTGTGTATGCACACAAATTGATAATCAAAACTTATTGCATTCTTTTGTTTGACATAAATGTTTGTACATTTTACCAGTATTGAACAGTGACCAATTCTGTAATTGATGCAGGACAAGCACGCTCTCCTGGATGTCACCCCTAAAGCGGTGGACACCCTAAACTACACGCAGTGGTACCCCATAGTCATCCTCTTCAGCCCGGACAGCAAACATGGGGTGAAGGCGATGAGACAGAGGATCATCCCCAGCTCTAACCGCAGTGCCCGCAAACTCTACGACCAGGCTCTGAAGCTCAGGAAAACCTGCTCATACCTGTTTACCGGTCAGTCCTGGGGGTCCAGACACCTCATGAAAAAATCAGTCATTATCTTCTCAACCCTATATTGTTCTGGATCATCTGGATCATCAAGTCTAAATTCACATTATTTGATTGTTTGCTCATTTTAATTAAAGATCCTAGCATTATAGAAGCATGTTTTGCTTGGGTAGCTTTTTTTAGAAAATGTAAAAATAAAATGATTCTGTTAATTGAAATGCTTATAAACTGAATTGTAGGGAAGAGAAGCTATCATGATTGGCACATATCAATATAAACTGACTTTGACACAGATTCCAATTTGAAAATCTCCAAGTGATTAAAGAAGCTGATGGAAACACTGTGAGATAAATAGGTCAAGTTGAACCTAGAGAACAGTTGACCCAAATCGAAATGTTTTGATTTCCTCTCTCTCTGTTCCTCCCCCATCGGTCTGATAGCTGTTATCGATCTGAACTCGGCTAATGATGCCTGGTACGGCAGTTTGAAGGAGACCATACGAGACCAGCAGACCCACGCTGTGTGGGTCTCAGAGGGGAAGGTAAAAACAATGGACGATATAGTTCTCCACCACCTTCTATCCACTCTGAAACAAAACCTTCTGTTAAAGTCAACATGAAACACTGTTTACAAACCATTTTGCTTCTGGCATCTAATGTATTTCGGAGTCAAACCGAATCTAAAATTTTTATTGAAACATTATTGAAATCGCTGTATTCCCCAATTGTATGTCACATTGGATAAAAGCATATGCTAATAAATATAAATGTAAATAATTAAAAATAGAGATGCAGCACGGTTTTACATTTTCCAGGTTTTTCTAATAATAATTAAACATAATAATATTGGTATTATATCAAATGTAGTTTGTATAAAAAAGTATAATACTGCTATATTAAAATACAGCTTATAGTAATAATAATAAATGCATGAATAATACATAAATATTATAATAACATTACATATTAATGTCAATATGATAAAATAGAGCAAGTTTTTTGGAAATGGAAAAATCTAGAAATTATATCTTATAATAATAGTAGCAGTAGTAGTAAAAAAAAAAATTCCTTTTTTTGCTATTATTTAAAAGATGAAAATTAAGAGCTAAAGTTAGAAACAGACTAAATAAGGAAATATCTGGAATATTTCACACCTGGCAACATCCCCTCAAAACAACAGTAAAATTATTTAAAATGTATCCCATGATTACTAAATTATGATCTTAAGACAAAACACAAAAAAACAAACATTTGTTTTCATCTTATAAATAATAAATGAAATAAAAAATGATAGTATAATCAAATTTATCTAAAACATTAACACGATGAATCATGTACAGTACATTAATATCAGGAATGTGCATTAAAAAAATCAGTCTTGATTTCATGTTGACTTTAATGCAACATTTTACAACATCTCTTTACTTTAAGACTCCTTCATTCACATTTTCCCACTTTATCTTTCCCAGTATTCCTGAATGTTTTCTTTACAGTTAAACCTACTAATGCATGCTTTCCTTTTCTGAAAGTCATGATAGTCATTCCTCCTGTTTTTCTGTGCTTTTTACTGTTCATCATTCTTCGGTGGTGCTCTACAGCTTTCGTTCTGTTTTGTTTTTGTGTTTTTTGTTTTCACTCCTCTCTGTACACAAGATCCATCATGTGTCTCTTTTAGCTGGACGGGACGAAGGGGGACCTTGACGTTCATGACGACCGCATGTCATATCTCTCAGCCATGAGCGCTGACTATCTCAGCATGGACAGCCGGCTGACCAGCGACTACGACGACACGGCGGACGAGGGCGGGACTTACACAGATAACGAAACGGACGAGCCGCTCGATCGCCAGCGGGTGTCGGCCATTAGCCGCTCCTCTGAGCCAGTCATGCCAGAGGAGGTTAGAGCACGCATGCATACGTTTAACATTTCTACAGGGTTCTCACTGCCATGGATAACCTGGAGATATCAGAGAGGATGTGCATAGTTCCACACACACACATGCATGCATGCTAATTCCAAAACATTGTGGGCTGTTTGTTATGCCTGAAAACACATATGGATAATACATCTTTCCCAGTGATGGGTGAACTGCTTGCACATGCATTGACATCTCCACACTTAAACATGCTTGCTGCGATGGCATCCCTCACAGTTGCCTAGATCAGCACAAAGTCAGCTCAAGGAAAGACAGCAGAGGTCGAGCCAGCAGGGAAATACATTTTCACATTGAGAACAAGACATTAGCACACACTTGTCATGCACGCATTACATGCTGTAAATGCAGGAAGTGCATGGTAATGAGTTTCCATGGCAAATCGCATGGATTTCATGCTTTCCAAAAACGTTAAGTGCATCTGTAAATGCAAAAAGCAGCCACTTCTGCCCCCTTCTGTTAGATGTTGGAACTATAACATTCTTGATCACTAAAAATTTATTGAATAGAGTAACATAAATGATGATTATTCTAGCAAATATAATTAACAGGGTTTCGATGGTTATGAAAAACCTGGAAATATCAGGGAATCGGTGTTGTGATCGTTAAAACTAAAATGTTTTTGTTAAATGAAGTGTTATAAATGTAATAAAAAGCTAGGTATATCAATATATAAAGTTATATATAAGATGAAAAACTTTAACTTGAAAAACTTAATTAAAAATTAGAAATGTTGCCTTGGCAACTATCTAAAAAAAAAGTTTCAATTGAAGTACTGAAATTACTAAAACTAAAACAAGTAAAAAATAAAGCTAAATATAAATATTTTTTCAAAAATGATTACATTTTATTTATTAATAAAATGTTATTTTTGTAAATTTGTTTACATTTTAATAAAAATGACAAAAGCACATAACAAAATGACTAAAAGTGAAAATAAAAATAAAAGCTAATTCAAATAAAACCAAATTAAAGCTAAATAGAAATATTAAAAAACTAATAAAAATGACAAAAGCACATAATAATGACTGTAACTAACTAAAATTAAAACGAAAATTTTAAAATATAAAAAATAATTTACTAAAACAGTATATAAATAATCCTAAAAGATTGTATACTATTAGGAAAATTGTGATTTAAAAGACCTTATAAATATAATAATTTATGCATTTAGCAGACGCTTTTATCCAAAGAGACTTACAGTGAAATATAATTAATCAATTGTTAAAAATGGTAATAAAATAAAATAATAATAAAAAACAGTTTTTTAAAAAGCTTTTTAAAGTAACCATAAAGAGCTGGAAAAGTAAAGAAAATGAATTGGTCAAAACAAAAGTGGATGGATAGATGGATGGATGTTAATGTTAAATCAGAAGTGTGCTATACTGTTGGCCCAAGACAAACGCATTCCTGACTGTATGTTTTCTGTAGTGTGCGTGTATGCATAAAGGCATTCCCCTGCCTAGACATCTTTCCATGTTATCTATCTCTTTCTTGCTCCCCCAGATCCTCAGGAAGTCCAGCCCAGAGATTCGAGGTCGCATCCGGCAGGTGGGCAGCAGAGAGATGCTGACAGAAGCTAGTCCCCCCTTAATGTCCACCTTCCTGCCTGACCCCGCAAAGGTGAGCTTGTGTCACGATCCCCAATGGCTTTCCTTTCTTAAAAACACCATTCATCAAGATATCTGAATAGTGTCAAAAAGAGACTAGAAATTTGCATACAGTAGACACTTAAAGGCACAATATGTAATTTTCGCCGCTAGAGGGCACGTACACTAGTTAAAATTGCTTATTTCTCTGGATTTATACATTCTTCGAAACATTTGGGATAATGTAAGTACACAAGTCAGCAAATTATATAACACTGTTCTAGTGGTTTTTGGATATTTTAATAAAAAAATAAATATTGTACCTTTAAGCCACACTTTAAAAGCATGAAATGCATTGACATTTTATTATGTGACATGCATCCATTTTTAAGTTTACAAATACTCTTTGCAGTAAAGACTGTAAACTGACTCTAACACAACTCTTCTCCTGACTGCACCCACATTCATGCAGAAGAATGGCCTGATTTGGAGCAACCATTTTTCCAGCAGCTCAGAATTCTCTCGCAGCAGCTCAGTGACACATTTTGGTACACTGTAGAGCCGTGTTCACTGTTGTGCCAAATTGGCTAAATAACTAGTATAGTGTACTTGAAAGCCACTGTCAGCATCTAGATGATTTTGAACTAATTGTACCAGTCACATACACTGTGACCATGAAAAAAAAAAGACGTTAAATGGAGGTAGTTAAGCTTTTACAATAAGTTAATTAAAAATTTATTTTTAGTTTTTTTTAATCTAGTTTAGTGTAAATTTATATTATAGGCCTATTATATATTTATTATTATTATTCATTCATATATTTTCAAAATACATTAAAGCCCCGTTCACACCAAGAAGGATAACTAGAAACATAACTATAAAGATAACGATATTAGCGTTCACACCAGTGAACGATATCGTTTGTTTATTCTAAGCGCACGCTCGTCTGCGGCTTTAAATTCTCAAGCTCGTTATAGCAGGATGGATTCTGATATCTGATATAGTTATCGTCCTTGGTGTGAACAGGCCTTAACTCCTGATTTAACTTCAAATATGTTAAAAATGTATTAATATATGTAGAAATTAACTGCATAGATAACCTAGATAAATGCTATTAAAATTGTTGTTTATTGTTAAATATAAGGATATTTAGTATTATTTACATATTAATGTGGTATTTATTACAATTTGAATTAGCTTTTATTTTTATACTTTGTTTTCATTTTGATTTTACTTTCAATTTTAATCATTATGTGCTTTTGTTACTTTAGTTCTTTTTTGTTTGTTTTTAAACATTTCTATTTCTATTTAGCTTAAATTTTTTATTTCAGTTTTAGTAATTTTAGTTCATTCAACTTATTTTTTTTTTATTTCAGTTAGTTGCCAAGGCAACATTTTAAAAATTATAATTTATTTATTTTTCACATTTTGTTTTTTCCAAGTAATATTTATATTTTATTTTATTTCCGCTTTATTGCAATTAAAAGTTTAATAGTTAATAGTTTCGTTTTAGTTTACTATAACTGTTTCATGATTCCTAATGCATTAATTAATGTTAACGAATTGCACCTTAATTATAAAGTGTTTCTAGTAGTTTTTAGTATTTTGGCAGTGTTCAGGGCTGAATTGGTAATCGAGCATACCATGCCCACCATTTTCCCGGTGGGCCGACGCATTTATGGGGCCGACAGAATGTTTTTTTGCCGAAAACCATCACGCAGGGACAATCGAGATACAATTTTTTGTCAATATCGCACACCCCTAACTGCGATAGGCTAACCGAGACTTGTCATTTGCACTTATATATTGTTGCTCATTTGTTCGTTTTGACTGCTTTTATTGTCCTCATTTGTAAGTCACTTTGGATAAAAGCGTCTGCTGCTAAAAATGACTAAATGTAAATATATATATATATATATGTGGTGGTGGGCCGCCTGGACCAAAAAATGCCAGGGCCGATTTTTTGTCCCAGTCCAGCCCTGGCAGTGTTTATAGAAGAACTGGAGCAATTAGTTAGTGTTTGAGATTTTGCTAGTAGGTAGTGTTGTGTTAGTAGGTTTTGTGTTTGGAATCATGGAGCTCAGTGTGAAAAATGCAGTGGTGACGATATAATCCAGTGCTGGCCTTTACCTGTGGTTTAGGAAGAGAAGTGTAGTAGGAAACCCTGTGATTCAATTCGGTAGTGCTGTTCTCCTTCATATTAATTTGTCTTTCAGGTAAAAATGCTGTCTCAAGTGGAGGCGTCACGGGGGCAGTACGACCCCTCTCGAAACTACGACTCTCGTTCAAGCAGTCCCGCGAGCAGCGAGCACCCGCGCAGCCAGGACTCTCCTGCAAAAACCAAACCCCTGCCTCCCCCCACAGCTCTCAAACCTACCTACGTGTCCCGCAGCTCCAGAGGCCTCGTAAACAGCCCTCCGGTACGGGACCGCAAACCTCTGGAGGACAGCCCTGACAATCCCTCTCAGAGGTCTTTCCTGGGCAAAGTGAAGGCCTTTGAGAAGATGGATCACTTGGCCCGGACACAGAGAGTCCTGGAGATCCAAGAGGCCCAGAACGCCAGGGTGAGTGTTCACCATCTTTAGGCTTTGCATGAACAATGACACAACAAAATGACAATTCAAAAACTCTTCCTTCCTTGTATTTGTCAACCAGTAACTTGGTACCTATCTGAAATGCTAGTTCCAGAAACTTGACCTACATGTTTTCTAACTGGTCAGAAATAAATTTGACCTACATTTACTGCAAAAGAAGCACATCACAATTTGTTTTTCATTCTTTGTGAAAGAGTCAGTGGAGGTAGATTATTTTATTTTAATTCATTGTTTCATTGAGCATTTGTCTTTTCCTTTTATCCTCTATATTTTCTGTTGTCTGGTGCTTTGGAACAATATATTTGTGTACTGCACAGTATACATACTGAAAATAAATGGAATGGAATTTAAATTTTAAATTAAAAAATTAATTTAAATTTAAGAAGTCATTTTATTCAAAATTGGAAAATTGGAATTTTGATCTACATGCTACAGTATGTAGGTTGACAACACAACTTTTAAAATATATATTTATAAAACTTGTTAAATATGTGGCCATGGGCCACAAAACCAGTCATAAGGGTCAATTTTTTTGAAATTGAGATTTATACATCATCTGAAAGCTGAATAGATAAGCTTTCCATTGATGTATGGTTTGTTAGGATAGGACAATATTTAGCTGAAATACAACTATTTGAAAATCTGGAATCTGGGTGCAAAAAAAAAAATTCTAAATATTGAGAAAATCGCCTTTAAAGTTGTCCAAATGAAATTCTTAGCAATGCATATCACTAATCAAAAAGTTTTGATATATTTATGGTAGGAAATTTACAAAATATCTTCATGAAACATGATCTTTACTTAATATCCTAATGATTTTTGGCATAAAAGAAAAATCGATAATTTTGACCCATACAATATTTTTTGGGCTATTGCTACAAATATACCCCAGCGACTTAAGACTGGTTTTGTGGTCCAGGGTCACATATAACATTTTGTCAATATTTACACTATTTCTCTTCTTGAAAACCGACCAAAAATTTTGATGATTCATCATACAAAAATATTTTCTAATAAAATATGCCTCCTTCCAAATTATAAATACCAGTTGTATGTGGCAAATCATAGTTCTGATTAACTAATTTTCTACCCCTAATCCTAATCCTAACCCTAAATATTTATGTTAGCAATTCTAGTGTGTTTGATTTCTGTTTTCAGATGGAGATTGCACAGAAACATCCAGACATTTATGCCATCCCCATGAAATCTCAGAAACTGGACCACAGCAGGCCACAACCTATCGGGTAAGAGTCTGGATTTGATCTGAAGGTGTGGTCACATAAACAAAATTTTGCGAGCAAAAAGGTATTTTGTCAATAATGTAGTGATGTATGAAGCACAGCTCACACAGAAGTTACTTTCAAACCAAGCAGCTTTTCACAACTCAAGACTCGTGAAATCTTATGTGAAATTCCCAATCATGTGCATTCCTATTGAACTGTCTGGATTTGATCCGCAAAAATATTAGCAGGATAAATGCGCACACAATCTTTCCCTGATCTTGCTGCATTTGCTTTGCGTCCAGCTCCAGTGCGCGACCGGAGCCCCAGACGCCTCCTTGCAAGCTGCCATACTCAGAGAGCCGCCCGCTCGGCCTCAGCGAGGAGCCCGGAGAGGAGTTTCGACATAAGCTGGCAGAGCAGACCAAGCGCGGCTATTACACCACCACACAAAACTATCAGGACACTGAGCTGTAGAGTTGCTCTGCTTCGGCTCAGTTGCTCTGCTTCGGCCCATACTCAGAGAGCCGCCCGCTCGGCCTCAGCGAGGAGCCCGGAGAGGAGTTTCGAAATCAGCTGGCAGAGCAGACCAAGCGCGGCTATTACACCACCACACAAAACGATCAGGACACTGAGCTGTAGAGTTGCTCTGCTTCGGCCCATACTCAGAGAGCCGCCCGCTCGGCCTCGGCGAGGAGCCCGGAGAGGAGTTTCGAAATCAGCTGGCAGAGCAGACCAAGCGCGGCTATTACACCACCACACAAAACTATCAGGACACTGAGCTGTAGAGTTGCTCTGCTTCGGCTCACCGCACAGCTTCACCATTCCACCGGGGCGCCGCCCTGCACCAAAACTGCTGCTGACTTGGAAGTCCCGTTTGCGTTTAAGTTTTCCCACGCATATATATGTATTTTTCACTTCAGAGAAGTTCAACTTTCTGTCCATGAGGATAGAATCTTATTGTTTTTTTATATATATATTTGCATTAGTTTTGTTTCCCTCCTTGTGATCCGAGAATCATGTTTTCTTGCCTATGCAATTTTTTAAGTTTCTGCAACGCAACAGAAACGTCTCGCCACGAGTCTCTCTCTTCGCTCCATGAAAACCTTAAACCTGTCGTGTGCTACAGACCAGCTTTTTGTTACTTTCTTTTTATAAGCCTGATGAAGCAAAACTGTTTTAAAACGTCACTCACTTCAAGGTTTATACTATCTTTGCATTCCTTCATTTCTGATCATGTGTGTATATGATGTGAGACAATACACTGGATTTTGTTACAACGTTTTGAAGTGCCTTTTACTTTCCGAATAATGTTGGAGGTTTGTGGACTTGACAATCCAACCCTCTGGACAATATTTTTGCTGCTTACAGCTCCAAGGAAAAACAGGGAAAAGTCAACACCAAAACCCTTAATACCGTCCGCCCGTATCCTCAGTGTAGCGACAGCAAAGACTGATGAGTTTCCAAAGGGACGCTTCACCAATCAGGTCGATGCTGATTGGTTTGAGTGATTGAAATTGCTGTGGTCACGGTTTGTCTTATTTCAACCCCACCGCATTACGTTTTTAACACGCTTGATTGTACGTTGGTCCGCTTTACCTCCACATATTGGTTCAAAGTGCTTCTAAAACTCGTGGATTATATTTTGATGGCTTCCACTGTGTGTGAGGGTCACACGCCCAGAGAATATTCCCTGGACATTTATGTTCAGGTCTACTGTGGAATTTCACTCTACTACACCAAATAAAATAAACTATATTGACATTACTGACTAAGTTGTGTGCTTTTATTAATCCAACAGGTTGGAATCCATCATCCAGTGGGCTATAAACTGAAGGGATTAATTTTTCTAAAGTTTAAATGATAGTTCACCCACAAATTTAAATTCTGTTACCATTTACTCACCCTAATGTCATTACAAATGAGATATTTTGAAGAACAAACAACATTTGAGCCCACTGACTTTGTATGGACAATGGTCAAAATCTCTTTTGTTTCACAGAAGGCATACAGGTTTGAAACAACATGAGGGTAAAGTAACTATCCTTGTAAACAACCCAATAACAAAGCCATGCCAATCAAAACTTTACTAGTATCACAAATTAGCTTGACTGGTTTATTATGTACAAAAAACGGAGATATTATTTTCCTGTGATTTCCCATCCGTGTGGTATAAGTAATGAAAATTGATTCTGTCGTGAAACGCAGTGGTTTCATTGAGTCCAGTGAGTTGACTCTTGTTCAGCGCCGTGTTAAAGGGGTCATATGATGTTGCTAAAAATAACATTATTGGGACATAATTACGGATTATAATGACTTATACAGTCTTTTTACGCGTTGCGTTGCATAGCGCCACGTAAACATAAAACCATGTCTGCATTTGTGATCGGACAAATGACAAACAGCAAGCGCTACTCTACACTTCCCAAAACTTTCGTTTGAATCATCAGAGGCAAATCCTTTAAATATGAAAAACGTACTTACAGTCTGGAGTCAGAACAGCCGGCATTGTAGTCTACTCTTTCATTTGTCATTTGATATAAAGGGTTGATCATTTTTTGGCTGGAAAGCATAATGAGGCTTATTATTATAGGAAGATGGATTAACAAATTATACATAAATTATATAGCTTCAGCCCTAACACCTGAAACTGCTAACATTAATCAAGGTCTTCAGGATTAACGTAATGTTACGAAACTTCCAAGCAGGTTTGTTGGAGCTACATGTTCCTCCAGGAGCAGGATTATGCAACTAAAGAGCTAAAAACTAACATATGAATACATATATACACTCATATATTAATGAATGAATAAATGAATTTAACATCACACATGATGCACCGCGGCTGAATGACTCATCTCACCTGTATCCTCTGAAACACTCCGGATTATTAAAGCGAGCAGGTACGTTTTTATCCACTTTGTACACATCGCTTGTCTTTATTTCAGTTGTATTAGACGATGGTTCAGGCTCCGCTCTTGCTCCTTCATCTGCGGAAAGATCGTCCATTGCTGCGTCCCAATTCGCCTACTTATACTATGCCCTAAAAGTATGTACTCTTTTTGTGAAGAAAAAGTACATACTTTTGAGTATGTAGAAGAATAGTAGGCAAGCTTTGGGACATACTACTTCGTCATAACTGCGTCTTTAACGGATGCTCTGTTGCTTAGTTACCTGAATTCTGTCACTGTTTAAACTGCCGTCAATCATCTTATCACAGTTAACATCATCCATATTTTGTTTAATTTGATTTTCTACCGTATTGGAGAGAAATTAAGAGGTACGTTGATCTGCCAGTCGGGGGTCTATCTGCTCATGTGTTTGCATAATGATGCATTTAAAAGTTAATGACCAAAAGTATCATTATAAAAGTTCACAGTGTTGCCGCAGATGAAATATACCGTGGATAACATTAAATTAATATTTTTTCATCAGGTTAGACATTATTTATCACTCAAATCCGTTTTATCTACCTGTCCGTTGGTTACGTATATCCGCCATGTTTGTAGTTTTTAACACTTTTAATGCGTGTTTGTAGTTCTAATTGAATCCTCGTCCACCGCGCAATGTGTTGTGGGCAATATTAGCCGTTAGAGTAACCGGAAGTAGTAGACCATCCGGGAATCTTTGGCATACTTTTTTAAACATACTATGATTTGGGACATACTATATCTATTTTCGAATACTACCGGTATTTAGGACGGATAGTATGCGAATTGGGACGCAGCACATGTCTCCGTTTGCTCCAAGGCCCCAGTGAATCTAGACATCCCATATGCTGGTTGCTATCAACATTGTAACTAAGTGACGTGATGCGTATTTAGTTGGTCATGTTTTTTTCACAAATTTGTTTTCAAACATGGAAAATACATAAGTTTATCCACCTTTTTCTTCAACGCGGAAGTAAACCTATGGGCGAGACTTCCGGTTGATTAGCCACAAGAAGAATATGCAGTAAATGGTAAAACTGTTTGCACTACAAACCAGTGTGTTCATAATTAAGATAATACATTAAAATAATATGGTAAGACACACATTTTCAATATCAAGCAGCAAAACGAATTGTTTTGAACAGATAAAAATAGCTGGATGCGGATGAGACCGGAAGCCAGACACACAGACTTTACAAATGGACGCGCCCATTTTTACAGCAAGAAAAAGCAACTCTTTATTTGTAAGTACGATACAAATTAAGATAAAGAAACAACACACTTATACTGAGTGAAATTACACGTTACTTTTTGTTTTTGTTCTTAAAGTTAATGAAAAATAATTTACATCAGTAAATCAGTACATAAAAGATAAGCCTTATCAGTTATTCTTTTCTTAATACTAGTTTGAAACTGTGGAATAAATACTGCAGCAGCTGTTCTGCCAGAGATAGGGTCTTTAGAACCATCAGTATATATATGTAACCACGATGGATAAGTCTAATCCGCCATCTTGGAACGGTCAACTTAACGTCATTCGCCATAATAATTAATGAATATTCAAAGATATACAAGCGTATAACTTGCTGTTGTAGACGCACACAGTCAACAGTTCGCAGACCGTTCCAAAAATGGCGAATGGCTTACGTATCGCGGCCCATAGAAACAGTCGCTAATGAGGCATCTACGTATATCTATGCCTTATCCAGTAGTGTCATTAGAGTTTAATCAAACATATGGCAACTTACCGTTTCATAAGAAAATATACCAAGTTCAAGACAGAATCCAATACCTGAACTACATTTTCATTTAGTAAAAAAACACACACACACACACACACACATTTAAGCATGATTAAGTCCAAAAATGGCGAATGGCTTACGTATCGCGGCCCATAGAAACAGTCGCTAATGAGGCATCTACGTATATCTATGCCTTATCCAGTAGTGTCATTAGAGTTTAATCAAACATATGGCAACTTACCGTTTCATAAGAAAATATACCAAGTTCAAGACAGAATCCAATACCTGAACTACATTTTCATTTAGTAAAAAAACACACACACACACACACACATTTAAGCATGATTAACGCATTACCATTTTCTTAATCTATCTGCATCAATTGCATAGGATTGCACCAGTGCTAGGGAAAGTTGTTTTAATAATAATAAAAAAGGTAATAATTTACAATATTGTGTAACTCCATAAAAAAGTAAGTATTTGTGTTACTTATTTAGGCTACTTTTTACGGAAAGTAATGTGTTATTTTTATTTTCTAGTTATTTTTCTCATCTGGGCTGGGTTTGTTTTTTTAATATACAAATTCTATTTTTATGGCAAATTCACGTCTGTACAGTAGATAAAAAATAAATGCATTTTAAAAATGAAATGCGTTGTTTATCTAAAGTCATTTCTGCTTATTAGCATGGTTGAATTGGATCATCAAAGGTCCGTTGCAAAGACACCGGTTAATAAAATGGGATTAAATAGCCTACATAAAGGATATTTGTGTTATTTAACATTTAATTATTGCAGGGTTTTGTCATAGTCTGAGTTTGCATTTCACTGTTTTTATTCATTTTGAGGAATACTGAATCTGTTTTTGTCCAAGTGAGATGAGTAAATGTTCACATTTAGTCTAGAATACAGTAACATCATGTCTACACACAACGCCTCTGCACTTACTCCTGACTTCTCTCAACATGGCAACACGAGAGCTGTCAGTCAATAGCCTAAATGGGAAAACAAAGTAAGTAACTGGCATATTTATTCGAAAAAGTAACTGATATTTTCTTGTAAATTAATATGTTACTCTAGTTACTTGACAAAAGTCATTTGATTACATAACCTGTTACTTGCATTACCTCCAACTGTATTGCACTGATGAAATTAGTTTGATTACAAAAGCAAATAGATTACAATGCACACTGAAGTTAGCACATGTTTGTCAGACGTCCACGGACCCCTCAACCTATAGACAACGCAAGAACAACTGATTCAACCATTATTGCTTCTTTACAAAATATATTATTCTTAGATTTATTTATTCATTAGTAGTATTCATTCATTTATTTAACACATTTTGTACATTTACATTACACTGAGCAATTGTCTTATACATCGAAAATAATAGTAGCCTAAAACCCAGATTTACAGTCAGGCAAACTCTTCATTTCAGCTGGAATTGATTTCCAACCGCTTCACTGTTTTTAATGCTGCATACAGAAATGTAATGAACAGTTGTCATCCAGAATTTCCACTCCTTGGATTGTATGCAGTTTACTTCATTTCAAACCTAAAATGAAAACAATAGAGATGTCAGAGCCCCTCATGGTTGGGTTTTTATGCAAGTGTAAAGTGTGCATTTATGCAAGTGAAACGTATTGAAATGTTTCCTATTCATTCATTTGCTTCCAAACCTGTTTTGAGTTTCTCCACGCTGATAAACACACTGCCACAGTGCATTATTACTCACGGTACGAGTTTGAGTCTGGCCTAGCGCGTACCAAAAGTAATAATGGACCGTGAAGCAGTTAAAAAGGGCTCCTTTCATCTTAACAAGGCAAGGTTTTGTCAAATTAAACGTAGAGTATATGGTTTTAAAACATGGAGAATGTAAACATATTTATGATTTGCTACGATTTTGCATACTTTACCTTCTGCAGACTTAAGAAGTTACATCTTTGTCTTCATTAGTGGCCCTCAGAGGTGCCCGATTAATCATGAGAGGTTACATCCATCCATTGCTGCAGTGATGGAGTAGAAAAACATAATGTAATACTTCAAACAATGCAGAATTGTTAGCCTAATTAACAGAGACTTCTCTATCAGAAATGAAATTGAAAAGTTCCAGTCTAACAAGACGATTATAAACATGCAGTACACAAACCATTCTACACTCTTAAAAATAAAGGTGCTTCACGATGCCATAGAAGAACCTTTTTGTCTAAATTGTTCCATAAAGAACCTTTAACATCTGAAAAACCTTTCTGTTTCACAAAAGGTTCTTTGTGGCGAAAGAAGGTTCTTCAGATTATAAAAAGATAAGAAAGAGATGGTTCTTTAAAGAACCTTTCACTGAATGGTTCTTTGTGGAACCAAAAATGGTTCTTCTATGGCATCGCTTGAAGAACCTTTTAAAGCACCTTTATTTTTAAGAGTGTATATGAAGATAAATACATGCAGAAAACAAATCATTTAACAGTTCAACGCCCTGCTTAATATTACAATTTGCCAACAGAGGGCACAATATTATATAGCGTGGTCAGCTGACGTAGTGTGATTAAAACAAATAATACTGTTTCTAAAATGTTAAACTAAAATGTTTTATTAAATAAAACAACAGAATGCTCTATAATTATTGTATAATACTTTTAAAAAAATTCAAACAAATATGAAGTAAAATCAGGTGATCTAATGAAAAAGGGAAAAGTCTCTCACATAATGGTAGCATTATACTGCCAACAAGACATCTAGATTATGTATTAGGACAACTTTGGGAGTAAAGCCAATGGCCAACTGAAAAATACCACAATACTTATTGCAGTGTCCGTAGGCCTATATATATTACATATTAAATATGACTGTAATTAACTAAAATATTACCAATAACTTGGTGTAATTAAAACAGCTCCAAAAAGCAGTGACATATTGTTCATTAGAATCCCAAAGTAGCATATAATGTAAAGTGTGACCCAAAATCCTTGGAAAAAAGTTATATAGTTCTATAAACTCTACCTGAAAATGATGGATCTGTTTCCGAATATGTGCTGGTCCAGCTGGTGAACCTGAGACCTGAGGAGGTCCATAGACGAAGGTTTGAGCTCCAGAAACAGGACTTCAGTGGTGTGCTCATTGTAGCCTATACAGCTCTGTCCGGAGAAGTGAGAAATTAAATGCTTTTGTTGTGTTAGAGGTTCTTTTTATTGAACCTTCCTGTGGAAGTGAGGAATCAGGATGGTCATTCCCCAAACCGGAATTCCTGTGTGTGTTTGGAACTGATAAAACTGCTGTAAAGAACAAACTCCATCCTTCTAGAGCTGCTGGAGTCTGTCAGTGAACTCCGAGAAGAATTTAGCATGCTTCTGAAGTGGAAAATTAAGCACACTTAAACTTTTTTTTTTGTTTACATTACTACATCTATACATTTTACGAAGTACATTTTATGTATTTCTGCTTGGGTCTGTTAGAATATGGAAAACGAAAAGCTGTCCTCCAAAAACAAATGCACATGATAGTATTTATACATTTTTTGAATTGGCTTTTATTTTTATATTTTCAATGTTCATTTTAAATTTGGTTTAATTATTTCGATTTAGCTTTATTTTTATATTTAGTTTTAAAGACAACAAAATGACCAATCAGAAGTCCGGATGTTAAATATCCATTTAATAAAATATCACAAAATATGAACACAAAGAAACCCATTGTAAATAAAGTAAAAACAAGAGGCCAAAGGGTTTTAATTTCTGCCTGAAGGTTAGCATGAGGAGGGGGAGAGAAGTGTCGGAGGAAACAGGAAGCTGCTGGTGGATGAAGATAGCAGGGTCTGCTTCATCCGAACAATAAAAATCTCACCCGCTCAGGAAAAGGATCTGCGTCAGCAGTGAGTGACAGATTTTAGAAAGACAAAATGGTGCCAAATCCAAAGTGGCGGGAGAAAATCAGTGTTTCACTTAAAGACCTCAAAAGCACAATGGCGTGTTCCTCATATTTCATCGAATGTAGATTCCACGTTGCTCTGGAATTGCTGTGCTGAAACGCTTCCGAGGGCAGGGTCAAACATTATTTCACAAATACAAACCCTTTCCTTAAAACTTTTAACACACTAAATAGGCGCCCAAAGTATGTGGACACTTAAATTAGGCCTAAAATAGACGTCACTGCAATCGATAACAAAATATCAAACAATTTTTATAGCAAAACATTTTGCAAGTTAGTTTGTTAATCAACAATACCGTTCATAATGAAGGCAAGTGTTTGAACACTTTATAGTTAGTTGTCAGTCATCACGTGTGAACCTGGGAACCTGAGACTGACTTCATACATCCACCAGCTGATTAAACATTAGAAAGAACCCGGAAAAGTGAAGTTAGTTCTGAGAAAAGATCATTTAATCGAATGTATTTATTTATAAAGCACTTAAAACTACACAGTAGACCCAAAGGACTAAAAAAATATGACACAAAATGCAGCAACACTAAAGAGCACAGACACTGAAAAGAAGAAAAAAAAAAGAATTCTGACTTGTCATTTTGGTTGGAACATCTGTCAGTTATTATTTTATCTTTACTGTCATACATACTGCCATACTTAGCACAGTAGCCTATAGAATAGGTATAATGTGTGTAGTAGGCCTCTGCAATTGTTCTGTGTGCATATACCCGGATGACCTATTTCTAAAAAAGAGCACACTGTGCTATCCCACGATGCATTGTGCTCAATATTTCATTTCCATTGTGATAAATGAATCATAAGTACTATAATTCATGCTTTTTACCATATTTTCCAATTTTTGAATTATTCAATCAGACTGATAAGAGTTACGATGAAATTGGATTCAAAATGTAAAATAACCTTTTGTATTTCAGATATGCCAATCATGAAATTAAACATGCATGTAACGACAAGAATGAAGTGTATTACTGTTTGGAATGTTTATTGTGCTGTAAAGCACACTGGTCCACATCAGTCTTTTTATTTATTTATATAGATCTTGTCACAATACACACTGTTTCAAAGTAGCTTTACAGAAAATCATATTAATGTTTATAATATCTTCATGCCTTATAGTCATTTAGCCGGTTAGAGCTGGGCTAGGCCTGTAATTCACATTTTATGATGATACATCAAGCAGCTGAACTAGGCTACTATATACTGTACTATATAAAGCTGGATACACTTACATTAGTTAATTTATTGTTAATTAATAATTCCTTAATTTATTATGAGTTATTTGTTACCTGGTGATATTGAGAATAATGAAATCGTTGTTATTTTTAGTATTATTTATTTACTATTGTATTAATATTTTGAATGAGCTTTTATTTTTATATTTTCATTTCAGTTTAAATATTTCTATTTAGGTTTTTTTTATTTCATTTTCAATTTTAGTAATTCAATTTAACTTATTTTATTCAGTTGTTTTTTTTAAGTAATAGTTTTTCATCTACAGTTTTAATCAACAAAAACAATTTTTAATAGTTTTAGTTGACAATGTTTAATTAAACATAAATAAATAAATAATTAAAAATGCTAGTATTTCATTACAAAATAGTACTTTTTCCTCCCTAACAGAAGGGGGCGCTGAGTATCTATATAGAGTGGTAGAACTATGATGTCACTTTGTAGGCAAAAACCCGGACGCGAGTTAGCTTTTTAGCACTTCCTGTTCCATCGTCCCAGAGTCAATGGGTTTTTTGGATGGGAGTTTGGTTAAATCCCCTAAAATATATAATAGAATTTAGTGAAGATTACGGTCCTGATCCACACTCCTAATCAGTAGGTGGCGGTAATGCACCTAAAAGTTGTATGTCATCCGCCATTAAACACCAAGAAGAAGAAAAAGAAGAATCCCCTAAAGTGGTTCACACAAGCTCAAGATACTTTCACGTTTTATTCTACGACATAAAACACACCAGTTACACCCCACTCGTGATTTTTTTAACTGTTACGTTTCTTAAAAAAGATGGTTGCTAACAAGTTGCTAAATGGGACTACAGGCGCTGTTGTCGGAGACATTAAACGTCATCACGCCGAACAGTTTATCAATTTACAGTATTTTCCAATCGTAGTGTATAATTTATAGTACAATTAATTGTAGAATAACCAATTAATAGTTTCCCGCATTTTATATTGTTGTTCGACACTGTTTTTTTGCTTTGCCCCGAAATGCAACACAAGTCTTCGGATGGAAGATGCTGGTTTTATCGATTTCCTACTGATACGGCTCTGGGTTTGCACCATAAGGTCAACTCATATTACGATTATTCCATGTAAATTCCATTCCGTTCGCGGTGAAAGTTAAACTTTAACGATGCATAGTGCGTAAAGCCACGTTAAAATTAAATGTTTACGGCCACATGAAGCTGTTAATAAAATAACAATTTGTGTGCCTACCCTAATAAAATGATAGATGAAATGTGGTACTTTATTTACTAAAATAAGTTTAATCTTACCAGATCCAAAAACTCGCTCACTCTGTTATTTAATAGATTAAATGCACTAGAATTTTATTGAATAGTACGTGGAGACACATTTTTTAATTAAAATATTAATATTAATCAAGGATTTATTGACTTTTAATGCACCTTATTTCGAATTGTACAGAAATACGTGCTTTCATATGTCATTTAGTTATGATTATTTCATTTATTCACTATACTATTTATTACTAATGTCTCATTTCAGTTTTAGTTTGGCTCTAGTTTTGTATTTATTCCAGTTTATATGAAAAGATTCATGTAGCGTGGATTAAAATTCATATGCAGAGTACATCCTTTTCACTGAACATGTTAAAAATAAGTTTGAAAAGTTGTGGGAAGCATGCTGGTGGTGACGATGAAGGCGAGCGACCATGGAGGTGTAGTTCGTTTATAGCAGTGGTGGGCAAACTTGGCCCTTCCAGGCCACTTTCCTTCAGAGTTTAGCTCCAACCCTAATCAAACACACCTGAACCAGCAAATCACTATC